ACGCAAGGCGAAGCCAACTGATCGCTCGCTCGAAGATTTTCTTCCAGAAAATCTTTCCCCACTCGAGGGACAAGTTCGTTAGAGAAAATGTGTTTGTATTTTTCAACTAAACCCGACCTTCGTTTCTTTGTCGTCCTTAAAAATTCTTCACGTGCAGAACACTCGAACCGATGACAAGAGACAGTTCTCAGACTTACACTTACCAGATGCCAAGACCGAATTGTCATACACATCCTGCTGAGTGGGGAAAAATTTCCTGGAAGAAAATCTTCGAGCGAGCGATCAGTTGGCTTCGCCTTGCGTTACTAAACAGAACGGTGCGTGCCTTAACGAACACGGAATATTTTAATATGTTCGTTATTTACGCGTAAATGAGTTAGAATCCGAGAGCGGCAGTGGAATTGTTCCGCGAACAGTATTCCGATCGGAGCTAAGAATTAAAATGAAAACGTGTATACAAATTTTCAATTGCAAAGTGCAATGTGACAGTGGATTTGTAAAATGAAAAGTGGCAGTGAATTTGGGAAGTGTAAAAGTGACAATTTTTGTTTTGTAAAAATTTGCCAGTGGGAAAGTGACAATGATCGTGATGATAAGGAAAAAATCGTCGGGTGCAGGTCATTGACTTACTCCAAACATCAGCTGCTGCGAGCCATGTGTCCTATCTTCGAATGCCGAAGGTCGACCCATTGACCCATTGACGATCTTCGACGAGCAGATGCACTGACCAACGAAGAAGTAAGTTCAATTCTGATTTTTTTCGCATTTTTCATAATTTTACGTACTCTGTAATTTGTAAATTTCTTAGTTATTTCATTCAGTATGTTACTTTCGTTCAGTGAACGTAAGTAACGACTAATCCCTTTCTTTCTTTTGATATTTAACCAATTTGTTAGTTCGTTTTTGCATGCAACATTTCTTTAATCCTATGCTCTCGTCACGAGCGCGACATACGGGCGCGGCAACGCACGAGGCGGTTATCGCGCTCCTGCCCGCCTTGTATACTCGCGCTCTGATTGGGCGGGGATTTTTGTTAATAACTCAATAACCACGCCTCGGACAACTTTTTCGCAAAGGAAAAAGTTGTTTAAAATCACCTCAGCTCCTCCTCATTTTCGGGCGTAAAGGGAGTTCTGGGACACCCTGTATATATATAATACAAAAATACATAGCAGGTATGATATTTGTTCTGTCAATTTTGATACTGGTAATATACGTATTCCTTTTTTTGCATAGTCCCCTTGTATGTTTTGGAAAATTAAAAATATTTTTAATTGACGTATTTTGTAGAGTTTGTAATTTTTTTTAATTTTAAATTTATTTGTACGTCTACAGATTGTTACTATGTAGTTACAATGTAAAATGATTATGTATAAAAGCATAATACATGTTTAGTTTAGTTTTTGTGTATTAATTTTTGAAATTGTCTAAATAAAATTCTGAAACACATATATTTTTATCAATTTTTCCTAATTAAAAACTGTCCGGCATGCCGGCAACGCGATAAGTAATATTTGTAATTTTCTGGCACGTGCACATAAAAAGGTTCGCCACCATTGGCATAAAGGATTAAGAAGTTTAAGAATTTATCGGAGTCATTGTATGTTTAGTATTTAGTGTAAGTTGTGACTGTGTGTTTCGTGTCTTAGTCTTGTGGACAGTGCGCACGGGATAATCGCGGCGTATACATATGTACTCGTGTGGATATTTCATTTCGGTGCGTAGAAAAGGTCATTCACCCTCTTGACTCGAAAATCCAATAGAGAGAATTTCGATGTGCTCTTGCGGATTGAGCGAGTGATTAGGTTGAATGCCAGAATATATGGTTTCAATTAATTTCCCATCTCCAGCATCCGAGGTAAACCCACAAGTCCTATTTATGGTTATCGACATGCATCAATCGGCGGTAATCAACTGTGCGTATGCTGTCAATGATTCCTTCGTCGAAATCACCATTAAAATCATGGAGGTCACTACGAAAGTACGTGCAATCGTAGTAGAATCGATGAATCATGAAATGATTGTTGGACGCGTTTATTTAGATCAAGCGCATATGATGTTGATAAAACAACGGTATAATATCATGATTCGGGAGTTACCGCGTATTCAAGATTGACAGGGGGGGGGGGGGGTAACGCAGAGATTTGCGCGGTCGAAGGGACGCTAGAGTTGGACCAGATTGCTTTCGGAGATATCGATAACGGGAGTAAGGAACGATGCTCAGAACTCTTGAGGTCATATTAAGATCGAATTACGACATCGATGAGAACATTGGGAAAAACCAACACCGTTAAAATGCAAATTCGCCGCACGATCAATGTGCCAGTTTATTACAATCCGTATCGAATGACAGCATCTGAGCGAGAAATCGCGCGATGAATAATTGCGGAGTTATTGGATAAGGGAATTATTCGGGAATCGGAATCATCGTATGCGAGTCCGATTACATTGGTGAAAAAGAAGACGGGCAATTATCAGGTTCGGAAACTTTGGTGGTGGGGGTACCTGTTTCAAGGGTAGGATCCGTGTTAAAATTAACCCTTTAATGCACAGTTTTTTTCTCGAGTGTGCACAGTTTGGCCTGTTTAGCGCGCTGAAATTAATTCGAGCATACAAGTTAAGAGGTTAAACGAACATTCTAAGACAGTTATATGACATAAACAAAATCATACTATATTTAATATAGAAGAAAACTGTTACACGAAAAAATAAGCAAAACTATTGAGGTGCACGCAGCCGAAACACTGACGCTGCTGCGAGACTGCCGGAGGCAGGGCTGCCAGAAAATCGTATGCCATTGTATCCCATACCCCCTCCACCCACAACTCGATTCCCTTTTTGCGTTGCCATAGCGCTGTCCGCTTGATTATTCCTTTCTGCTGAACATCGCGAGAGAAGAATTGATCCAATTTGCTGGTGGAAGGGGTAGGGGATACGATGGGATACGATTTCCTGACAGCTCTGACCGAAAGTCGTACCATAGTAACCAGGTTGAGGACGGGAGCCAACGAGAATCACCCCTTCCAGTTACGCATACCATCGCACCGTATCCGTGTGCTCCGATTTCGGCTCTAGTTCAGCTTAGTAGAAAGAGAAGGCGTAACATCAATTGGTCGCCCTTGCTCCTGATGCGTTAAGATCAGAGGGACGCGCCGCCGACTGAAGGTCTATCTACATAGACGTAACGACACTGTAACGTCACCGTAACGTAATGGGAACCTAGGTCTCCGTAGGTCGTAGGACGTAATTTTCAGTACTGTTCCCATTACGTTACGGTGCCGTTACGATGCCGTTACGCCTGTGTAGCTATATAGACCTTGACGAGGTCTGATGTGTCGCCTTCTCTCTCTACTAAGCCGAACTTGCGCCGAGCTCGGAGCACACGGATACGGTGCGATATACATAAGAGGAGGAGTTGATTCTCGTTGGCTTCCGTCCTCAATCTGGCCATTCTGGGCCGCACCCTCCGGTTCACAGTAATTATGACTAGGAAATCGTTCTCTCCTGATTTGTTGATAACTTTTCTCGGGTCCTCCTACGTAAGGAGCAGTAATCCCAACCCGTCCTGGGATTCCCAGGACGCTGGCGTTGTCCTCATGTTTTCGCCAGTTACAAATTTCTTTTTATCTGAGGGCAATAATCTCCTATGTGTCCAGCTCTCAAGCACTTATTGCCGGACGACCTTCAGGGACCATGTTTTCCTGCATTGGCATTTTTTCTAACATAAAAAAGAGTTCGAAGATCCTCGGTTAATCCGTACCGTTGCGTATGATTTTGCTTGCTTGGGAATACCCTCAACGCGCGTACAAGCAGTTAACCCAAGTCCTTCTTTGTTAAAAATATCCCTTAATTTCACAGGTCCAAGAGCAGATGAACACCGATAATATCCGAACCACGACGGAGGCACGCATCTTGTAGGGGGTGCAAGCTCAAAGGAAGGCAAAAAAATACGAGATAGGGGACCTAGTGATGGTGAAGGTCGCTTGTAAAAGTGTCATAAGAGGAACATAGAAGTTTACTGGCAGTTTGAAGGCCCATTTAGGATTTCTAGGATTCTAATAAAGAATGTCTACGAGGTCGAGGATCTTCGGGAAGGATGCCTAGGAATTCAGAAAGTTTCTGTCCACCGATTGAAGCCATGGGTCGCGGCTATGGAGTGATAAGTTCGTAAGCACAGGGAAAACAGAATTCTAAATATTAATCGTTGAGTAAATATCTAGACAATTTCAATGGTTCGCAGCGACTACCGGACGAAAGGGCTACCTTGACGACAAGCCGGTGGGCGAAGCCATCGAATCAACGGTGAAGCCTGACCGCAGTTGACCGCAAGATGGATTTCATCATATACCAATTGCTGAAGAATCTATCAAGTATACGTCGTTTATTACACCGTTTGGTCAATATGAATTTATGAAAATGCCTTTTGGGTTAAATCCGGCTCCAACAAAATTTCAACGATACGTGAGCGAAGTGCTCGATGATTTAATCCAAGCCGGTGACATAATAGTCTATATAGATTATTTTCTAATCGCGACACAGACTTTAGAGCAGAGCTGTTCAGCATAGGCTCTGGCGGGCAAGGGCAGCCTCGGTTTCCCGCGGGCAATCTCGCGGGCATTCAGTAGTGGGAGACCGGCCCTCGTGGTTCAGATAAGATAAGCCAGACGCTCATAAGGAATTATTATAAAATTTTCATGCAAACGGCAGGGAAACTGATTCC